TTGCGAGGTCTAGTACATGGGTCAAAGCAGTTAACCGGGGTCAATTAGAATAACAGAGTACAAAAACTTAGCTAAATCAAGGTTAGTAGGTCCTGGATAAGATAAGAAATCTAGAGAAAAGCTCGGTTATAGCTCTGCATACGATGACACACAATCACACAGTGTTGGAAACTAACTTGGTTGAGTGAAGTGAGGGAGAGATTGATAACCGAATCTTTGTTTATCGAATCAACAACAAATACATGTGGCAATCGAAATGATTCTGTACCTGTCCTAGATATATGGAAAATTCTACTACCCTTGTCATCACAGAGAAGGAGAGAAGATCGGGTCCGTCTCGAAGTTGTGGAGTCAGTTGCCTGATATGAATAAGGACAATAAATTGTGTCCGAAACGTTGTTATCCAGTAAGTGGTACTACTTCACTGTGTGATATTTCTAATAAACAGACTAAAATGGAATTACAATCTGCGTCAGTGGCCAAGTTTTACTCATATATTAATAATTTATCCTGCTTGGGTGATATTCAGTATAACTGTATTTAAACAGCGTTTAGCAAAATACTTTAGTAAACTTAATCGTAATTAGGTGGTATACATATTTTTCCTTACCTTGTAAGACTTGTTACTGACGTTATCCTTTATGGATTCATCTTTTATCCTATAGTAAAAAGAGGCAAAAGATTTATTTTAAAAAATAAACATAGTTCTCCTAGTCAAAGCGAAGATGTATTCATTTGGCATGTACTCGGATATCCAAGCAAAGTAGACGAAATTATCGGTCAGCCATTTGGATGAATCCCATGATACTGCCTGTCGTTTTAGTTTGATACTGATGATAGGTAATGGTTAGCAATGAAATCCAAGATATGCGTTTCGTCCTATTTAGGACTCACCAGTCAAATGGACCTGCACTTGATTTTGTTCCCACCGAGGCTTAGACTGACAACAGATTGCTTCAGATACCAGAGAGTCCTGATAACTGTTATCTACCAATTAGTAGACATATGGGCTAGGAATCCAGTGGTTACTGGTTCGAAACCCACCGTGGCACAAATTTTCATTTTGTCTTCAATCATCATCTGGTATCAACTAGTAAAATGTATTTGTTTATTTTTTCATGACAAAAAAGGTACATAAATGTTTGATTTAATGTTTAATTTGAAGTTTACGCAATGTATATACATATTAATTTGGAAGTAATGTTGTAACAGGTGACGGTTTAAAATTGGACACTTACTCCCTTGACCGTTAAAAGGGAAAAAAAATGATCAACCTGTGAGTATAAACTGCCAGTAACAGTATACTGAGTAGTAATCACCTATAACTCACTTGAGTTCATTGATCAATACAACTCAGTATATAATTCTAAATTGGAAATTCAATTATTCTCCTCTACAAGCACTGATTATTGACCTTATATATGAATTACCAGATCATATGACTTCAAACGTGATTTTGGACAGCTGTGACAGAATACATTATGAAGTATATTATACTAACTAGCTGTCTACAACACTATGCGACGGGAATCTTAGGCAGGATATCAAGTCCCTGGAGGCTACAGATATGCTTTGCTGACGAATGCCAAAAGGCACAAAACGTAGATTCAAGAGTTCTTGTCGATCGCCAACTACTAAATAACATTAAGAAACTCTACAGCATTACCTTCATGATAAGTGATCATGTGAAATTTAGCAATGGCATAACGTATACTTGTATATAAATTAGGTAGTTATGGTTTATTACTTTGATAGTATTTGAGGGATTCGCATTAAAACGAGCACTTCACCACAAAGTGAATTTTCATATAATAGACTTAGTGAATCACTGCTGTTTTTGAACATGTACTCGAGTTAAAACTACTGGCTTGTATTCTTCAGTGTGCGAGGAAATGTTCTCTCCAAGCACCTTAATAAGTCGTGCAAACAATGTACGTATTTGTCGCAGCTTCCTTGTTCGCTTTTTCTCAATAACCGTTTAAACTGCATATCAGATAACCTTGCGCATATATATATATATATATATATATATATATATATATATATATATATATATATATATATATATATATATATATATAACAGTTTTTGTATGTGTGGAAGAACAACCCTGTAGAAGAACTACACTTTAACGCACGTCCTAAATAACTGATTCCATAATTTTATCTTCCAGCAACAGAGGGAAGTAAAGCCACTGTCTATAAACTGCTGTCAAATTCTGTGAGTTTCTATAGACACTTTATTGGTAGAAAACTAATCATAATAATTATCCACACACCAGTATGAATCATCTTTTTATATCATTATTATTTGTCCCTTGGGTTCCTAGTGGAACGTAGGGATTCAGTAACACGTCGACATTTCACTCTCTTCTCTGAAGTCTTCTTAACCTGGCTCCACTACTGCCTGTCCAGAAGCTTTCATTTCTTCCTCACACCATCTCCTCCATGTCACCGTCACTTCGGACACGCAACTCGTTGTTTCCCATTTGGCTTTCACTCGACAGCCTGGCCTGGCCTGGGCTGACGCATCATGTACCCGAACCATCTTCTCAGTGTATGTTCAATCCAATCCATCTCCACTTTCTTCTGCAAATCTGTTGGGTGATAGGTTCTTGGTTAGTTTGTTGCCAGTCACAGTTCATTGTTGCTTATTCTTATTAGTCTGGCCGGATGTTGTTCCACATATTGAGTGCAGTGCAGTTCAGTAGATCTCCACACTGATTTCTGATCAATGCAGGGGGGTCTATCTTGCTGTCTTTCCGATCCCGACTTTGACGTCCTCATCTGTTTCTGAGGGACCTGTAGTTGAAGCGATGCTTCCTGGGCAGGTAGGCAGGTAGGTGAGAGAAACAACTTGCTTCGGATTTCTTCCGTTGATGGTGATTGGTGATTGTTGTTGTTGTCATTGGTTAAGTATCTTCGTCACTGCTGTCTTCTTCACTTTCACCTGAAGGAAGTCCCGTCTTTGCTGTTCTGCCTTGCCTCTTCTGTCAGCTTGTTAGTATTCGTCTGTTAATCTTAGAGTTTGTGCTTCATTAGACATTAGACATAAATGGTGGTCGGTGAAATCCAAATCTTCTAGCGTCTTTTCATCAGTCTAACAGCCTGTGCTCATCTCGCCTCTCGCAGTTTGTTGTATGATCCTGTACAGTACAGTCGACCACTATCAAGAAGATCATCGGTGATAGCAGGCGGCAACCTTGTCTTACCTGTCAACCTGTCTTCACTTCAAAGGCATCACTGAACTTTCCATCGTGAATCACTTGGCATGTAGTACCATCATATATCTAGCGGTTGAATAAGGTTGATAAAGGGTTATGATACTTTCCTCTTATTTAGATGAAATTGATCTGATTTTTAGTGTTGTATGTCCATCTGGTGAAATCAATCTATGTCGCTGCCTTGTGAATATCCTTATGTTTGTACACAGTGCCTCCAATCACCAAATCATTAAATGCGCAGAATCCTGCAGACAGTTCTCCATCCTCATTCATTTCACCAAGTGCTTCCTGTGTTATCCGCTCCGAGTTTGGCATGCATGTGACCTATTAGTTTTGATGTCACCAAATGGGGTGGGGTCTTGACCGGTACTGATTACGGCTGTCTGTAGAATTCCTCCTTCTTCTCTTCATCTGCATTATTTGTAGGTGCGTATCGTAGCACTGTATGATTGTTACTTTCTTTCCTTTTGAGTTGAATCTTACCATCTTGACCCTGCAGGAGGAGATTAGTTCCCACTGCATGATAGCCTTCGATGCTTAGGGGGACATCATGATAGCCACTCCAATACTCAGTGTGCTCATGGTTGTCGTCTATGTGACAATATCGGAGTAGATTATTGACTCCTTTCCAGTTGACAGTTTGGAGAGTCACTTCCATTCCATCTACTTTCGCAAATTCCAAGCACTTCCATGCCATATCTTCTCATCTCTTTTGCAATCTGGGCAGCCTTGCCAGCCAGCTTCGAACATTGTATGAACATTCTGTCCCTATGCTTACTTTTGATGTCAGCGAGAGGAGACTCAGCGGCCAGTTGGCTTCCCGAAGGCTTTCACCAACCGGTATCATTCCAGTATGGAATGAGTTTATTTTTATTTATTATTTTTTGTGCTTCGAAGTTTCTCTAGCGATTGGATTGGTTTCATGGAGTAGGGTTGCCAGCCCTATGCCCAACCTCTGCTCTTTATCCGGACTTAGGACCGGTTAGTAACTAGTTAACTAGTAAACCAAGCGAGGTTGATCTTTTGATATAGTGTTAGCATACTTTTCGAGTGAATTACTTATTTGTGGTATAGTGTAGATATTCTGTGCTTGAGACTGTAACAAGACTGATTCAAGATGATCCATAGGTTTGTTGAATAGAACGAGATACCCCAAAATTAACCGATGAATAATGTTCATATATACGATCAACCTACCATAGGTTGATATGAAATATTACTAGGATGATTTTAAATCCATGATCACTATATCAGCAAAAGTTCTGACTAGAACATTGAATGATGTGACTTCCAATCTTTAAGCAGATTGAACTTCGAATAAAATCGTGGGTGATGTTGGTTGCCAGGTACCAAGTATAGTGAAACTAAGGTTCTTCCCTACATATATATTACCTTCAAACATTTAATGCCACTGCGTATTAGGCAACACACTTAACAGAAACAATGCATAGATTGTTGTTAAGTCAACTAACTGCATAGTTCTAATTTCACCATCCACGATGAACAAATACAGATCTAGGGAGATATATTCTACATAGTACTGAAAATGACATAATCTATCTTTCATAATCAGGAATAAGATGACTTTAAATCAATTCCAAAGAACATTAGAGATGAGATATTCATTATGTCTAGCAGTAAGATAGTATACGTTTATACCCTTCTGTTATACAATAAAATTATATGTAAGCTATTTATTAGCAAGATATGAAAAACAATAAGCAAACACAGTTACTTGAAAAATCTTTCCTCTGGCTTGTGAATCTCTTCAGTTGATTCACTTTGTAAGTATTCGCTTCTTAATGATAACTTCTTAAGTTGTGATTCTGTTGATTTTCACTTATCTCATTTGTTTCTTTAACCTTGTACACTTCAGGACTCAAAACTGTATCATATACAGATGTGTCATTGCGTTTTTCATCTCCTAGATCTCGAAGACAACGATTGATCTCTCTGTAGTTTGTACAACAAATGAAAATTTAAAGCAACCTTTTGAGTGTGATCATTTAGTAGAAAGGAATGAAAATATTTCACAATTTTATGTTCACTATACATCTTTGTTATTCACAACTTTGTGGATTTGCAATTCTCATAAGTGTAAACGATCTTTTATTACAAAAAGTAGAGGATTTCTCTAATATCTAACAACTGGACTAATCATATAGATGTATCATGAAAAGTTCTATTTGAAAACGTTACGCATGATATTAAAAGCCGTTGAAATAAAATAAAATAAACGATTTGAATCTTAAAACGTCTAAGATGGTATGTAGTTTTTTAACGCCTGTATAATCCGTTTATTAATGTTGTAAACAAAAGGCTGTAAATTGAATCACTTCATTTTATAAAACTAACTACTTTCCAACATTAGTTCCTTAGACCATAATCTTCATTGAATTCAAATGATCACTAATTTTGTTAATGGATCTTACTTGCTCACTAGTCACTGGAATACCTTTCTCTCTTATTTTATCTATAGACGCATAAGACTAACAAAATACTATGTGCACGATGACATTACTTCACTGTCTTAAACAGAAGTGAAGTAGCCTTAATCTACCTTTCGAGTTGTTATTATACAAAGAGATTAAAATATACACTTTCAAAAACATTATCCGTGTCCTTGACTTGTTCATGTTTCTTGAACAGAATTTTCATTATAGTACAATATATGTCCAGTTATTATTCGCCTACATATCTTTTCAGAAGTATTCAACTGTGGTGCAAGCCAATTTTATACTTCAAATGGGGTTTTTTCAAGAATACGCAGTCAGTGGTGCAAAATCTCACCATAGTTTCCTATTCAAACTAAGATATTCAGGTCAACATCTAATGGTATCTAGTTGACACCACAAGTAGTCTGATGATTTCAATCGTGAAACTATGCTCAACATACTACTGACTGAGATAGGTTGCTCTAGATCACCGATATCAATCAACAATACTCGCTAGACAGTATGAGGCTTCAGGTGTTTGACCACCTTTGCCTTCGTAGTATAGGACGTATTCCGTGGTGTCGCCATGTGAGTAATGCAGAAGTTAGGTGTAGAGTTTTGGGGAGAAGAGGTAGGTCAGTTGACGAGGTTGTGAACCTTCATCGACTGAGATGGTTGGGACACGTACTACGTATGCCTGCCTAGTCGTCGATTGCCTCGTCACACAATGTTGGCTGAGGTGGGTCCAGGCTGGAAAAAGGCTAGAGGTGGCCAGACTAAAATATGGCACCAATGTATGAAGTCTCTGACTGTTGGTCTAAGCCATGTAGGACTATGCAGACTAGGTGGTTGGGGTCCGTGGGACAAGAGGAACCAGTGGTTGGAGACCCTAGGTGATATGGCTCAGAACCGAAGTCAGTGGCGCAGATGTATACACACATTATCCTCATCTTAACAACGCTATCTTGAATCTCACCATTTTGTCACTCCTCTTTCCTTTCTTCTTGTACTTTATATTTCTTTTGACTGCATTCACTTATCTTCATCCTTCACCTCACTACCTTTTTACTTGATGTGGTGATATGAGGTGTGGCAACTCGGACCGTTACGCAGTAATGCCTGGTCCTATGTTGATAATGATGATGATGAGACAGTATGAGGGGATTTAAACGCCGGATAGCCATTTCGATCGTTCAGTATTGAGCTCATCAGCTGTGTATTCGGAAAGAGCCTAATTGTCAAGGTTACCTGAATTCCGACTAGCTACCTGAGTAGACTAGCCATGCTTAGAATCAAAATGAAGTGTTTACAAAGTACTGACTTAACATCACAAAACCCATCATTTGATACTCACCTGTTTCTACTTTGTAAAAATATAATGGAAAATTTCATTTATCACTAAAGATATCGATTTTTAATCATAGATGTTTTATTATACAATAAGTAGAAATGCATACTCTTCAGTTTTACGGTTTCACTTATGAGTAACTTCCATTAGAAACCGATAATCATGTATTAACTTCGAATAAATATACATTTTCCATCTTTAGGAGATATCTTACTGATTCAAGTTTTTTTAAGTAATGTCATAAATGTAAAACAGATTATCACAATGGGTCAGAACTTTAAAATATAATGCATAACAATAAAATGCCATAAATTCTGGACAACATGAACATAGTACTTACAATGTACAAGCACTAGTACCCTTATTTGATTATATCACACATAGGTTTGAGAACTAAATGCCAAACTTATAAAAAGTGGGATTTCTAAACAAGTTTCTATACTGTACTGAACGTCTACCCACTCTGATAAACAATTTTCTCTGAAAGACTGGAATATACAGGTTGCTATATTCTTTGAAGAAAGCTTAGCAACACAAATACAGTTTGTTGTAATTACTCATCTTTTTTTGTAGTATAACATATACTGATAGCCAATAATCTTTCCTTTGATACTAATGTATATCTGAAAAAGTTGTAGTCATTAGATACGTTTGAAGTATTCGGGATTTGCTTTCGTTAATGACCTCATAAAACCATGCATATGAAGGATACGTAGCTATCAGAGAGCAAGTGCTTATTTAACGCTTTATAACCATATCAGCGTCACACCACCTGACGTCCCCTTCATGTACATGTACAAAGGTGACTACTGAAATTTCTCGAAAGGCAGATAACTCCCAACTTCAGCAGTACATTGAATTCTTGACTTGCTATCTGCAGTCTTTTATGATTGAAGATTTGAGGTTCTGATGAGACTAAAGAGTCTGTAGTAGCAATAAAGTGTGTCACTGTGTTCAGTTTCAAGGTTAGTGGGAATTTATTGACTTCAGGTTGGTATTTATCATGGACTGACATCAGTTGGGGATACATTGGAAACCTTCGAAGCACTGGGCGGCTGTTTCGTCCTGCTACGTGACTCCTCAGTAGTGCGCACCCGTGACTCCACCCATCAGGGATCAAACTTAGGAACCTCATGTTCCGCAACCAGCGCAAGAAAGGAAATATGGACCACTGGACTCCAACTCAGTAGCTTATTATTAACGTGCTGACCATGGAACCTGAATGTCCAGGTTTCCAATGTTTCTCCAACTAATGTCATTTCATGACAAATACCAACCTGAAATCAATAAATCCCCAAAAACCTCAAAATTGAAATATTCTAGTGTTCATTGGTAGCTAGATTCGAGAGCGGAGTCCTGACTTCGCTGTGAGATGTCGTGACTAGTGAGGTCAGCCAAGTTGAACATGAGGACATTCACCCAGCGACGATATTGAATGGAGGTCGCACTGTGTCATTAACTGACAATCGTAACGTAGTGACCACGAAACCTGAGAGTACTGGGTTCGGTCTCTGTCGGGTGGGGTCGTGGGTGCGCATTGCTAAAGGGTCCTGTGATGGAACGAAACAGCTGTCCAGGTTTCCATTGGTTCTCTAGGTGATTTCAGTTCATGATCAATACCAGCATGGTATTAATGTGTTTCACTGAGGACCTCATGTGATCCGTTGGCGTGAGTCTATAAAATCTTCACAGTAAGGTATTGTAGATGGAAATTTTAGTTATTGAAGTTACTACCAAGCATTGAAGTAGACAGGATAATCATAATTGCAGCTATCCAGTTCATGGCAATCAGTGCCAAGTGATAGTTTGTTTCTCAGAATAACAGAGAGTTCAAAATCGTACGATAACAAAGGAAGACATGCTTTGTCACTAAAATTCTTTTAGTACCAGTACAAGCTACTTTTCAATACAGTTGAAGTCACGATTTCAACATTACTGTGAGATCTACTACCGAAGAATTTCGTTGATCGTCTTCTAGGTGTTCTGTTAGTATGTTAGTCTTCTTCTATGAGACAGCTACTTATCACTCTGTGTTGGCTCAGCTATACTGTTCATGCATCATTTCGTTTATAGGATCAACAGTTCTGGCCAAGCTATCAATACACATATCTTTGGTTTCAAACTTAATATCTGTTGAATACTTGAAGGAACTTTACGTCACCAAATCTGACAGAACGGATAATGGTCTACGTTCGTTCCTTTCAAAATACTCTTCTCATATGCTACCTACTTTTTCGGAGGTGTTCTGTCACAAAGTAACATACCTCTGTTTAATTAATGAACTGTTTGATCAACCATTTTTCTCTTTAAGTTTTATGACTGTTTTCCGTATTTTGTGTTAATATAGGATTAAAGTTATGAATCTTTTCCTTTGTAATAGAATTTTGAAACAGTATTGTAAATCTCATGTCTTCTTTATTACTGAAAAACAATTGCTTTCATATCAGTTGTAGGAACACTGAAAAACTTAGGAGAACTGGGCAGCTGTTTCGTCCTGCCATATGACTCCTCAGCAGTGTATACCCATGATCCCAGTCGTCAGGGATAGAACTCACGAAAGTCAGGTTCCATGGCCAGCACGTTATCATTGCTTCCATTATAAAAATCCATGATAGATACAAAGAGAGGAACAATAGGGTATTCTCTGTAAGTTTACTTAAATTCTGTTAGCTAAAATCATCATTTTTGTAATGAAAACTATTACCAGCCTCAATTACTTTATTTCGGGAATAAACCAGCAGATTTGTCTTACAAGTTTCAGGATAATATCACTTGTGTCTAGTGTTATTGCCTGTATTACACCGTCGTTGATTTGACTGAATTGACCAGTCTCTGTCGGCAACCAATACAAGCCATTACACTAAACCTATACCTGTCGCACAAGAAGTGGTTATCGTGGCTAAGTGGTTGACGCTCTGGTGTTTGGAGTTATCGCTTCCGAGTCCGAGTCCCGATGGGAACAACATCATTCACTGGGAGGCAGGTACATCCAACTGATGAGTCCCAAATAGGATGGAATATGTACCCTAGATTCCACTGCCCATCATTACTATACATAATATCACTTGTTTTGCCCCGCACAAAGGATTACGTGACAGTTTTAATCGGTGCAATTTTAGTAAGCCCGTTGTACGAAAAACTGCAAATCTTTTCTTCTCTTATGAGTTGTTTTTAAAAAACCGGGATTCTTTTGTTTTCATTATCTAAAACTACGATAAACTGTCTTGCCCACGTGAAGCGTCGATTGTGATAGTTACTAAAGCCTTTCAGTTACTACTGAAACTTGACAATGTTCTGTTTTAAACCTTGAAAGCTTTTTTGATATGCATCTTTACTAATATGATCATTATTATGATCAGCTGAACTGTTGAATTGTAAGCGTCTACACTGAAATGAATATAAGGTGAACTACTACCTTTACACTCGATATTAGACTTACTTATTCGACAGATCACACACTCACAAGGTATTATTTACCTTATAACCTGATGAATACAACTATCTATATGCAGTCATATCAGTCGCATAAGGCGATAATCCTGTATCGATGTGTGTCACGTCACTCAGGCGTATAGAATACAGAATTATTATGATCATTATTATTTGTCCCTTGGGTTCCTAATGGAACATACGACTTCAGTAGCACGTCTCCACTCCACTCTCTTCTCTGAAATCTTTTGAACCTGGTTCCACGACTACCCACAAGCTATCATTTCCTACTCACACCATCTCCTCCATGTCACCCTCGACTCACAAGGCCAACTCATAGCTTCCCATGGGGGTTCCACTCGACGGTCTGACCTTCACTTCCTTCCAGTGCATATTTGTTGAGTGATAGGTTCTTGCTTCGTTGATTCGTCACCAGCCACAGTTCCTTGTTGTTCCTTGTTCTTTCTGGCCATCTGATTTTCAGCAACGAACCAGAGTGGCCAGTTGTTGATGAATGTCTGTAGTTTGTTAGAAATCCCTTTCGTAACACGCCAAGTCTCTCAACCATACAGGAGCACTGAATTGACTGAATTGGTGTTGAAAATCCGAATGTTGTTCAGGTTGGCTTTATGCTGAGTGTAGAAGATTTCCACACTGGTTTCAGACTAATGAACGCCTGTCTTGCTTTCCCTATCATGGCTGGCTTTGACGTCCTCATGTGTGTGTGTGTGCCTCCTGTAGTTGAAACAGTGCTGTCTAGATAGGTGAAGTAGGTTACTTCCTTCAAGTTTCTCCCGTTGATGGTGATGTGTTTTTGTTGTTGTTGTTGTTGATGATTGGGTATCTTCATCACCTCTGTCTTCTCTATATTCACTTGAAGTCCCGTCTTCGCTGCCCTGCCCTGCCCTGCCCTGCCCTGCCCTGCCCTGCCCTGCATCTTCTGTCAACTTGTTAGTTTTTGCCTGTAGATCTTCTAGTTTGTGTGACATTAGACATAAGTCATCGGCGAAATCCAAATATTCTAGGATCTCCTCCTTGGTCCAGTGTATCCCGCTCCTCTCTCTCCTCACGGTTGGTTGCATGATCCAGTCGACCACAATCAGGAATATCATGGGTGATAGTAGACAGCCTTGTTTCACTCCTATCTTCACTTCACTTCACTTCAAAGGCATCACTGAGCTTCCCATTGTGAATTACTTGGCATGTGGCGTCTGCATATAGTTGTTATACAGAATTATGCTCTACTACAATATCATAGTCATGTGCACCATACAATTAGATCAGACTTTGACAAAATCCTAGACAAAGTGAAGACTTTTCTAACAGTTGTGTATTGTAACTGTGATGTCAGAGCACTTGGCCAGTAGTCTATAGGCGGATGGCATGATAGACAGGCGGAATCACTGCAGAAACTTGCTCTCAAGTAAGTCGGTTGAAGTTGCCACACTTCACAGTAATATACAAAGAAGATGGACAGAAAATCAGTGAAATTAAAACAGACAAAGTTGTGTGAGAGAATAAACAATTTGAATATAAAGGTTAGTGCGAATATCAAAGGTTTAGAAAATGCAAAGGATTGAATACATCCACGCCACTATGACTGATTTTTAAACATATGACCAAGAATCGTCAGTCGCTGATTCTTATCTTCTCTGGGACTCCACCCGGGGTAGTCTACACTTCCCAGCCCGGCTTTGACCAGCAGTTAGACTCCATGAACTAAGGTCACGTCTTGGTCTTGTCACTTTCAATCGTCTTCCAACCTTATCCAACTTCCCCATAGCACGGCGCATCCAGGTAGACGATTTCTGGGCCTGTACTGTGCATATCCATGCCACCTCAGCTGATAGACGTTCACAACTTCACCAATCGACCTACTTATCTCGTCTAGTACCCTTAGCCTGACTTCAGCATTTCTCAAATACAGTGATTCTACTAAACATGTGTGATTCAGAGAAGACACCTATGATAGAGACCCTGTAATCGCTTTATGTCTTCTAATTTCAACAACCATTTCTCATATTCGTGTAACATGACAGAATAGACTGCAGTGCAGTATACTCGTTCTTTGATATACAGTCGGATATTTTGCCAGTTAGCACCACATATGACACGAGTTAGCGAATGTCAAACGAGTCTCAGGGATGTTTAAATTTTCCAATGAAGAATCCTTCATTTTATTGTTGTTAACATACAACAATAGTTTTGTATCCTTTAAAGCATCCGTATTTACGTATTCTTTAACCTATCAAATGGTGTTTAGTCAATTGGCTTTTGAATAATACCATTAACCGAATCTATCTACATTCTATTGAATGACATTGAAGTGGTTGCTACTCAGTTAAAGTCTCAATGGGAGCAATATTATTAACTGGGAGGGAGGTATGACCAGTTCACACGCATCCTACATTACACTGCTAATCACTATCCATCATTAATATTCAAAGCAATAACTCTCGTAGAAAGCTACTTACTGTTTTCTCATTGTATTCATCCCATTTAAACCAACCTGACGGTAAAATATTCATTATGAAATGGTTGAAAACCTTGTAAATGAGGTAAATAGAGCTCACTTTAATTCGTTTAACTTTTTGACCAGGGCTTCACGTTCTTCCTGAATCTTTTGACATGTATTGACAGCTTCTTTGTCTTTCTTCATATGCTCAGCCTTCTTCTTCATTTGTAACTCTTTTACATTTGCTTTGCTCTCATCTATTAATTGCTTCAAAGTATAAAATTGTAGACATAAAGGAAAATAATATTAGCCAAAAAGAGTATAGTAATGTTAGTTGTTAATAGGAAAATAAACTGAGCCGAATGTTTATGAAATGCTGATAAGTTTACACGTTTTGAGAAAATGTGTAAATACAAAGGATGATCTACTCTTCTCTCTGTATTACCATAGAACTGAAACAGGCTATTTTTAAAACTTTGGCTAAAAAGCCAGTGCCTTGTATGTTTCCTCAATGCGCGGTCACGGCTACACATTACTGAGAAGTTACATACTACAACGAAACAGCTATTCATTCCTCCCACGCTTTCAGTGACAAACGCTAACATGAAATCATTACATGCCCCCCCCCCCACCACCACCACCACAAACCTGTAAATTAAGTCGAGTTTGCGTTGGTCTTTGGTAAAGTTCACTAAGCGTATATTTTAATATCAAAGGTGTCTGATTACATTTATACCCATTTTTACGCTTTAAGTCTACTGGTTATGGACTCAATACTGACAGAAACTATTAAGACTTGTTATGTGTTGATACTTGTAATTTCTCGCCGCTAAACTGGGTCAAACTGATCGATTTCTGTTGGCTGATGGGCTCCTATGTAGATTTCTTGATATTGCCTGAATGCTTATTGTTATAATCTACTTGGTGGTGGTTAGAAGCGGTAACTAGGAGGTTCGTTTCATCCTCACTTTCCTAGTAGGCAATGCTTTAGTATTTGAAGCGATGAGTATCGGGTCTGAGTAGCAGCAAAAACTGTCACTTACTGGGTAGCAAACTCATCCAGATGATGAGTTCTAAACGCTCTTACTACATGCCTCTGCTAGTCACCAATAAGTAAATTATTATGATTTATGTGAGCAACAAAAATCAGATTTTGTTAGTCTGGTCGCTGCTAACAGTAGTACCAACAAAATAGGTTCAATTCTAACCGAAACTTGTCAGAATAATGTAACCACATTTGTGTACAAGTATCCAGTATGATTTGATATCATTCATTGTCATAAATCCACAAGGAATCTATTGAATTCCTTAAGTTAAACATTAAAGTTTATCGCTACAACTTTTTCATTCTAGTGTGGGTCTCGTCAGCAATCTGGATCCAAGACTTCGCCAGCCGTAGAGCACATCACCAGTTAGACACTTTTATAAAGACAGCTAATTATCTACATTTTTTTTCAATGCATAACCACATTTATTATATAACTATCAGTCAACCACGCTAAAACCAATATTCACAAAACTTTAAACATAGAATTTCTAACTTGACACGGATAACTATAACGGTTTTATGCCTAAATGTTAGTTTCGACTTTATTTAAGCATAAGTGCTGTGTCAAATCACACAGTTTACAGTATCTTAAACTCTTCAAGTTACATCATTTTTTCACCATCTTTGGTGGTCCTATCGAAATTTTGTTTCATAACTTGGTTTTACTATTATGCAATTGAATTTTGAGGAAGTTATGGGGATTTGGAAATATTTCAAGTTGTTATTCATCGTAGATTGACATCAGTTGGAGGAACAAATAAAACCTGGGAGCACTGGAAAACCGGTTTTGTCCTGGTATTTGACTCCTCATCAGTGCGCACCCACGACCCCATCGCGAAAGCTGAAGGTCTTGGGCTCGATCCACGGAGGGCTCGTGGCTGTGCACTACTGAGGAGTCCAATACTAGAACGAAACAGATGTCCAGTGCTGCCAGGTTTCCTTTGTTCCTCCAACTGATATTAGTCAACAATGAATAATAACTTGAAATATCATACAATTGTTCAGAATTATGAAAGCACTAGATCGAAAGAACTGAAGTATGTTTCCGAGATTAACTTCCTCATGTAGAATCTTTATTTGTTGGAAAGTTCTCAAGAGATGTGTTTGATAAAAGCCATGACTACACAGTAATTATCATCACCTCTACTAATAGTAACTAACAGCATCGCATTATTGAAATTGTGAAGTCTGAATCTATGCGGTTGGCTAAGTTGAAAGTCAAGCGGAATTAGCTGTTTAAGCATCAGGTATTGGTAAAACGTCACTGCTGGTATCCAGCATATTGCAACATAGCTTTATATAGCCCACTAGATTAAAAATATTACAGAATAATGGTCACTAATATCCATATTATATATGTTTATTTGATATTGCAAGCATACACTGTGACAAAATATTATTTACTTGATGACGCTTAGAACATAAATTGTTATTGCTCGTAATCATATCAGTTTAATCACACTACTTTTGACGTCTGATTTTTATAGTCCTATCACTTCATATTCTGTGTTTCTAGTGATAGTAAACTGTTCCATATCTTTGGTATAGATGCTGGGTCACTTCTATAATGGCACCTATTTCGGCGGCCTGCTTGAACCTTGAACTACCAAATTTATCCATTGGACATTTTTCATTATTATCATTATTTAAAGCAACTGGTTCCTTTGATAAATTTAATGAGAAGATGAAGATTATCTAAAACATGTCGTGATGTATTAGCGCTATACATTTCGAACAATCTGATCACACATGGACTTGTCCAACTATTTATATGAAAATTTACGAAAAGGTCAATGAAGTTAATAGGAAACATAGGAATAGGAAGGGATAGAAAAGGAAAAGGAAAACCTTACTCTTGGTATGAAAATTAAAATCAATACTACCAAGGTAGGTTCAACGTGAGTACAAATTGTTTTTGTATACATAAAGGGGGTTTAAATTTACGGATGGCAAGAGCTTCAATAAATTTAAGCACTCGGCTCTGACCACTTTTATGTAGTACTTTAAAGGCTGTTTTCATGTCTATCCTATGGTTAGTTTCTAGTATATGTTTAGCGATAGACGAAGATGGATGTTTGTCACCTGCACTTATCGGATCTGTTGAGGTCATTTGTTTTTGTAGCCACTTAGGTACATGTTCAACCTTCCTTAACTGCATATCACGATTACTCCTCCCTATATATGTGTGTCCACACATACATGTAAATTGATAAACACAGTGGGATGTGATGTAATCGTTTATATGTTGTTTCGGTTTGTGCTGTAACATGGACTTGGTCTTCTCTACAATGATGACCTTAGCTGCATAATACGTTTTACAGATGGCCGATCTAAGTCTTTTCCTCACAACAAAGCTATGTGAATCACCTCTAAATGGTAATGAGATGTAGACATTTTTCTTAGCAACGGAACACTGTATACTTTTCAATGGTACATAACTTTTGCACCGGTCGATAAATCTCAACGGGTATCCATTCTGTATCAGAGTTGTCGTCAGTAAGTTGGCTTCTTCCTCCCTGGTGTCATCGGTGCAGATACGGTTTATCCTGTTGAATAAGCATCTGACTAAACCACGTTTGTATTGGACTGGACAATAGCTATGGAAATTAAGATATTGCCCTGTCCATGTAGGTTTCTTATAGATCGACCTCCTGATCGAGCCATCCTCCCGTCGACTGAGCAATACGTCTAGGAACGGTAGCTGGTTGTTCGTCTCTTGTTCATAAGTCAGGCTAATGTGATTCTGAGCCGTGTTCATTTTCTGTAGCAGGCACATTGCATCATCAGGCTTTTCACATATAATGACTATATCATCAACATATCTCTTATAAAGTGAAACCCTTCCGATGAGATCGTCAGCCATGTTTTCAACATATGACATGTATACATCAGCTAGCAACGGTCCTAATGGACTGCCCATCGCGACACCATCAATCTGTTGAAAGTGTTCGCCCTCGAATGTGAATTCAACTTTATCAGTGCATAATAACAATAAATCTTTTAAAAAATTAATAGGGATAGGGAATATAAGACTGTTAGAAGAAATATAGTCACATAAAATATCAATTGTTTTTACTAGAGGTACATTAGTAAATAAAGAATTTACATCAAACGAGTACATAGTCTTATCCTTGATATTAATATCATTTAAACAGTCAATAAGGTCAAATGTATCTTTCAATGAGGACTTACATAAATGGCTTCTGACAGGATTCAAGAGCTTTGCCAACCATTTGGCTAGATTATGTGTGGGTGATCGACACATAGACAATATTGGACGCAGTGGGTTGTCAGGCTTATGAGTTTTAGGTAACCCATATAGATGTGGATGTTCAGATCCCATAGGTTTTAGACGATTAAATTCCTCCTTATTGATTAAATTCATACCAAGCATTTTCACAAGTTTAGAATTTACTCTGCCTTCCAATTTACGTATCCCCTCACAGGGGGCATCTGACGTAAATTTGCTTTCATCACTGAGAATAGATAACATCTTACTTTTATAATCAGACGTGTTCATAACGACCACACCTGATCCCTTATCGGGTTTTAGTACGACAATATCAGAGTGCTTAAATTTATTGAAGCTCTTGCCATCCGTAAATTTAAACCCCCTTTATGTATACAAAAACAATTTGTACTCACGTTGAACCTACCTTGGTGGTGTATTGATTTTAATTTTCATACCAAGAGTAAGGTTTTCCTTTTCCTTTTCTATCCCTTCCTATTCCTATGTTTCCTATTAACTTCATTGACCTTTTCGTAAATTTTCATATAAATAGTTGGACAAGTCCATGTGTGGGGGATCAGATTATTCGAAATGTATAGCGCTAATACATCACGACATGTTTTAGATAATCTTCGTGTTCTCATTACGCTGTTTAAAATTATCATTATTATTATATTATATGGTGGGTGTTGATTCGATGAACAGTGATCCAGTAATCAATCACTCTCTCTTCACCTAACTAACTAAACTGGAATCAAATACAGTGGTTTTCATCTCACCTTATTGTGTCGTTGCCTGTTAATTTATGTATTGCAATAGCTGAGTGCTTTTCTAGATTATAGATCTTATTCGGTTCTGTCATTCTATACTTAACTAAACTCCCAGATTCTATTAATCTAACCGACCCCATCCAGCTAGTTTGATTTGTATGCTTTACCTTACAGTTACTGCATGGAATAAGGTAGATTAATTTATTTTATTGAATTGGAT